CTGGGCGCGTCGTCAGACCTGTGGTCGACATGGAATACCATTCGACATACTCGGTTGGGCCGGTTTTATGATGATGATGACGACCGCCGGCATGACGACCGCCGGCATGACGACCGGTGGCATGATGACCGCCAGCATGACGACCGCTGGCGAGACGACCGCTGGCGAGATGATCGTTGGGATGATGACTGGCATGACAGGCGCTGGCATCATGACCGCTGGCGAGACGATCATTGGGATGATGACTGGCATGACAGACACTGGCGTTAGAGTCAGAGTAGCGAAGTTGAAACCAAAAATTACTGGGAAAGCAAATTATTTGTTCAATCCTGAATCATCATTGACTGAAATGAAATTTCAATGAAACATTTGTATTATTAATTTTATTGATTCTAATTCTGATGCTGCCCGTCTGACGCTTGTCCCTGCATCTTTCTGACGCTTCTCACTGCATCTGTCTGACGCTTGTCCCTGACTGAGACAAGTTGCCAGTCCATTGACAAAATTAAGTGAGTATTTCAGGCCTCAAAATCATTGATAATTAGATTAGATGTCATTAATCAAGTTCTCACACATCATAAATTATTTCATTGACAAGTCAGTCAGTCAGAGAGCCTGGTCATGTTGTGTCAGAGTAGTGGCACCGATCGATGGGGCTGACCGTGCATGACGCTATTCAAATTAATCTAACCAAAAATTAAGTGAGTACTATGTCTGACATCGTTGTTGATGAACGCACAGTCAGTCAAGGAGTCAGTCATGTGCAACACCTCTTCCTCTGCATAGTGCAAAACAGTGACGAGTTTTCTGAGGTTTTATTTTGTCAAATTAAATTATTGAAAAATAATGTAATGAGATTCAGTTGGATTGATTCAGTTTGTCAAAAATCATTGTTGCTTCCAGAACCTTTGGCTTTGCTTGCTGCAATTGTGTGTTTTCCAATTGTTTTGGACTGTTTGTTATTTGTTTGTGTGGGTGAGTCTTACAATTATACAATTTAATTGATTTAATTTCATATGCCTTTGCATCAACATTGCTTTCATTCAACCTTTAGACATTTCATACTACTACATGAAGCAGCACTTCGTCAGTTTCAGATGTATTCTTTGTGACATGATCCATGCCAGGTCTGTCCAAAGACTCATCCTTGGCACCGCTTCTGGTCATTGGAGGTCACAGTGCCCTGTTAAACACCTGCAAATTGTTTGCTTTTGTTCCTTTGTTGTGGCCTGAGTTCATTGACTGATCACCTTGGTTGACCTTTGGGCCGCATTTCTGTCTCAAACTCCAGCACCAGATGGCACAGATCACTGATCAAAATGCGCTGAAAACTGTAGTATTTAGTAATCATCATCGACTCTGACTACAGCATTCTAGCATTGCAATTATACATATCAAAATCGATAATTATTAAATTCATCAAGCAGGAACCGCTTGTGATTTTATCAACTCATGGCCTTCACAGTCACATCGAGACGTTAAGTTCACTGCTGTCACCTTGTGGTACCACGTCTGACCAATGGATAACAGGAGACATAAGGTCGTGCTAGTTGCCACTGGAGAGAACCCGGTGTACCATGTCTCTTGCCTCAATCATTATGTTGTGAAAAAGGACGACATTGGACCTTGGACCTGGCTTTCCACTTGAGTGATTGACTGATTTAGATATGTTTCCTTTTAAATAAAAATATGAAGTCTTAATAATAACCCTTAGTATAAGGAGTGTCTGTCAGAGTCCATGAATCAATCTGGTTGATTCATAATATCATAATATCTACTGTCTCATGAATTCAGGCGGAAAACTGGATCGACATTGAAATGAATGAGTTCAAGGAACATGTCAGATGTTGCTTTGCTTGCATTGGCATTGAATTGAATGCATTGTATTGCCCCTGAAATGAGCTCAATCTACAGCAATAGTCTTGAACTCCTGAAGTTGCCTTTCCACTGTGAGGTCTAGGCGGCATGGTGCTGGAAATCGACCTTTGTAATATGTGGAATTCTGTCAATCTACCGGCTCCATGGTCTGACTGGGCTGACGTCGCCTTACAAATGCTTGACGAGACTGACATGAAGAGCCCAGATTTCCGTTCCTCACCTTAGAAAAAAACGAGCTTGCTTTTCGAGTTTTATTTATGTGTTTTTATAATGAGCTACTTTTCCTTCTTTCTTTTTTCTGATTGTTGTTGCAAGTCATAGCCATTGTTGAACAGGGCTGAGTTTATTGTCCTATTGACTCCTGCAAGCTGAGGAAACCCGGCGTATGACGTAGACGTCAGACGAGCCTTGGTGGAATCTCAATCATCAAGAGGATGTCTGACGTTCTGCGTCAACTATGTGGCTTCCATGGTGTTACACTCCTTGGCAGTTATCGACCACCGGGCATCAACTTCTTGGGTCATTCTGACCTGCTCCTTTGCACAATGAGAATTTGCAAAGGACTTTTATTTTATATATTTGTTTAATAGTTATTTATTATGAAATAATATATAATTAATCATATTAATCCTTTGTCTCATCATGTTAATTCCAAAAAAGTTTGTGGCCATCTAAGGTGGCACTGGCAGATTTCGGGCATGTGCGACGGCTGGCATCGTTGGGGCCGAGTTTGCCAGACATTTCTACACGCTTGACGTCAGACTCTGGTGTTTGGCATGGACGAAGCAGCCTGACGGAACACTGTGCCCAGGTCGCATCAAGCCCAGCTGGTGATTCTGTCATTTCTGCTCATTTGTTTGAATCATTATCATTTGCATACAATTATAAATAATATATATATATAATGTTTATTTATTTAATGTTTTTATTATATATATATTATATTATAATTAATTGTTGATTGATAGTCTGTTACATTTATTACGATGCAGAATATCATATATAAATAGATATATACATATGTACATATACAAATATATATATATATAGTCATTCTTATTGTCAACTCAGCTGAAGCTATGTTTCTGTTTGATTCCAGGTATCCGTATGACCTCGACGCTCCTTTGGAAGAGCCGCCTGCCATGGACCCGAACATTGGGGGTGAGCTGATCAACAAAAGCCCGCAATGGGCGTTTGAGGCGGACCACCGTGTCCAGGAGAAAGACAACACAAAATTTCGCCTCCCGCCGGAGCCTGTGTCTAGCTTTGTATTTCATTGATGGCAGATTTCCTTTTGTTCATAAATATTTGTTATTATTGCAAGACCCGCTCTGATTCAATCGATTCCATTGTTCTGTAAGTAATATTGATTCACTTTGACACTAAGTCATTGGGTGCTTTGTTCTCTTATTGGTTGATTGCTGTCATAGATTTAAATTTGTTCCTTCTAAATTGTCATTGATGCTAATTATTAAAATATTGAATTGATATGTTATTCTTTGATCTAATTTTTAATAAGTTTAGTTTCTAATTGAATTGTGCGAGAGAAAAACAATTTAAATTGATGCAAAAAAAATCAGGTCAAACGTGAGCTCTGGCAGAAATTCTCAGCACTGGCTTGGTGTCTGACGGAATTGGATGTCGACGACGACGCATGGGTTGTGACTTGGCATAGAACCTTTGTCTTTGGTATTCTCTTTGACACCAATAGATTCAGAGTCATGTACTGACACTCTAATGGATGTTGAGGATTAATTGTGAGTGATGGCTGTAAGCCAATCTGCCCAGGCAATCCTTGGTCTGGCGAACAACGGTGACAAGGGAAAAGAGTTGGCCCATGAGCTCATTCCGGACATGCAGCGTGCTTTGACTCATTTTCAGTGCCACTTCAGAATGTTGTTGTCAGTCCACTGATGTTAGCTGACAATCCAGGGGGGCATGCTGCAACAAGCGGTTTCATGATACATTACAGTACGCTGTGACTGATTAATTCTGAAGTAGTATTGCAATTTGAATTGAACTGACTGAGGAGAGATCCATCTTTTTCCCAGGTGGGAGAATCCGTCCAAACATATAAGGGCACTCTGCGACGGGAAGAACTTATTTCTCGAACAGCAAAGAGGGCATCGACCAGCTGCCTCGTCTGACAGAGGGTTTGACAGACGTCCCCATATGTCTGACAGAGGGGTTGACAGACGTCCCCATATGTCTGACAGAGGGTTTGACAGTAGGTTTGACAGACGTCCCCAGATGTCTGACAGAGGGGTTGACAGACGTCCCCAGATGTCTGACAGAGGATTTGTCAGACGTCCTGCCCAGTCCGCATCTGACAGAGGGCCTGGAGACAATGAATATCTCCAGCAGTCTTCTCTGTATGCCAGAGCCAGCCAGGCAAGAAATTAGCAAGCAGATCTGGAACGGCAGGATCGATGGGGCTGACCGTGACTGACTGACTGACTGACTGACACCATCAATAACTTAACAAAAAATTGAGTGAGTGCTATGTCTGACAAAGTTGTGAACGCAAGGTCAATCAGTCAAGGAGTCAGTCGCCAAATGTCAGACCGAGCTTCAGTCAGTGAGTGAGTCCAGCCAGAGCGTGCAGAAAAAAAATGCAATGAGATTGGATTGATCCATTTCAGTCTGTCAGAAATCATTGTTGCTTCCAGAACCTTTGGATTTGCTTGCTGCAAGTGTGTGTTGTCCATTCATTTTGGACTGCTTCCAAAATGCTTATTTATTGTTTTTGATATATTGGTTAAACCACGGTTATTATAGTTCATTCAAGGTATTTACAATATTATACTATAATTTTAATGGACTGATTCCATTGGCTGGTATAAAATGATTCTGTTTGCAACATGATCAATGCCAGGTCTCTTGCAAAGAAGCTCTTCAGGACCATCGAGCACTGAGTGGATTGAATGCTTGAGGCCCCAGAGTCTACAACAGTCTCAGTGAAAGATCATAAACAAAGTGAGAAACCAGGAGATTGAGCAAATGAATACAGTAAGCAAAAGCTATATCAACAAATTGCTGCAAATCACTTTGTTCCTGAACAATCTGTCAGCGTGTTTTTTCTAAGATTTGTGGCTCCAGCCAGCCTGACGTCTGACATCGCCATGGCAGTGCCCACTGGCCCTGCAACGACATATGATGAGCTGGCGGCGTACATGGCCCAATGCGCGATCACGTTGGCATCGTCTGGCCGCGATGTACAGGAGGTGATGGAGATCCTCCGATGTGCTCGGGACTCATTTGAAGCAGTCCGGCGGTCGTCTGACGAGGACCGAGAGGATGCAGAGGTTCAGTGCCTCGGCAATTACCTGTGGTTTCAAGCTAGACTAGACAGATTCAGCATGTTTATCATGAGTCGACGCTGTCAGTTCAATTCTTACACTGTTACACATACTGAGTTACTGTTTGTTTTGCTTCATTGATTTTGTATCTGATTTCCAGGCTGCTTCGAAATCTCGCTCTAGTCAGTCAAGAGCTTGGACCTGTCCCCGAGCGACCATCGTCGAATCTCATCGGCAATGTTGGGGACGGGCACTCACCTTCCTTCTTGGCACAGGTGTTGAAATGAACAAAAACTTGGATCATTGGTTCATGCATGCAGCATGGAATTTCAAAGTTGCTCTGAAGTAGAAGCAGCAATGTCACTGGTCTGTTGAACTCAGTGACGGGCTTGGCATCATTGTCGAATTGCCTGACGTCCAACGGCATCCTTGCCTACAGCTCCTTGGTCCCAAGTTATTTTCAATGATGTTACTCAGACTTCTGACTCCTTGATTCATTGATTGATCCCTGTTTATAAGATGACAGCCCTGAGTTTTCACCACTGTTTGTAGAGGTCTTTTACATGGTGACGGCATCGAGTGCAGGCTAGCGATGCAGAAGTTGACGCAGGCGATGTCGATGAACATGATCGCGTTCGGGGAAATCGACAGAGGAGGCCCAGGAGGTGCCGCAGCCTTCGTCGATCGCCTGACCCTTTGATGAAAACTGTTTGGGACTGATACATGCATGCACATGCTCACACAGGCACAGACACACATTAAATCTCGTGTATTCTCAACTCATGTGTGCTTATGATTTGACACCTGACTGACTGTTAAACTTAACAGTCACATTCTGTCTGACCTGGAATGCTGGTGACCAAAAATGAAAAGAGATCTGTGACCTGACCTCAGGAACACCTGGCTGGAAACATCTGACGAGATTCGAGCACCTGCCACACTTGTGCCATACAATGGCCGGGTGTGGCTGTGTCAGACAACACATGAGGAAAACCGACCAGTTTTCCAAGCACAGGGAAACTTGGCATGAATATGTTCGTCAGTCAGTCAGTCAGTGGAGTCAGATGATGTCTGTCTTTGAAAAAAATGCTGTCTCACTTGCAGGAGTTGCTGTACCTACATGTTGCAGATGGATGTTAATTGCAGTTTCTTTTTTGATCTGAGGCACTCAGGTGCAGTTTGTCTGCGTCGGACTCTTCCTTTTGGCAGACGACAAGTTTGACAGCCCATGCGTCTGACTCAAAGTTCCGACCTCAAGGGTGCCCTCCAAGGTTTGCTTAACCAGGATGACAAAAAGATCCATGTACAGATGAAATTTTGAAAGCCCATGCATCACTGGGCGAGTCTGACTGGCTGACATGAGGCTACCATGGCGCTCCGACAAGCAGTCAGAAAGTCTGTTTTTGAATTTAAAATGTCAGTCAGACAGAGAATTGTTTTGCTGACCGGGTTTTTGAAATTGAAATAGGCAGGAAGTACCATTGGCAGGAAAAATGTGCGCTGATTCAGACCAGGCATTGCAGCAAAGCATTGCAGTCAACCTCTGTCAGATGAGAAAGTTGTTTAACTGAATCTCGTAAGTGAATGCCGGTGCCTAAGGTCATGCCTGTTCGAGACTTTGTCGGAAGCTGAACACGGGCTTTCTGCAAACATGTTTTTCTCATGAGCTTGATCAACTTAGATTCGACTGACTTAGAGAGTCCTTGATTCATAAGTAATCTTTTTCATAATTTATCTTTCCAGGATTCCAATTTCTGACTTAAATTAACTGACATAGTCTGTCAGACAGTCATTTGCCTGCTGTGGCTTTTCTTAGCTTAGCAGGTGACTTTTGGACAACTGCAAGCCAGCAAGTATCAATCTCCATAATCGACTTAATCGAAATTAAGCCTGACTGTTCTTGTTTGACTGACAATGAACACTATTTAATCTATCAACAAAGTAACATGCTGCATGACTGAATGCTGTTTAAAAAATATATATAATGATATAATAGTTAGTCAAATCATACTATGGATACCATAATGATGACTGATGACATGCATAATTATGATTCGTTCGAGTGAAACAAATCCAGCTTTCACATTAATGACTCATTTGAAACAGCAAGCAGCTGTTGCTCTTCCACAGTGTCACATCAGCCATGGATGAACCAAATGCTGGTGAGAGTTTCTTTATTTTTGATGTCTCTGATGTGCAGATTGTGGTGCCTTGCTTGCATAGAGGAAACTCATGAATGACACATCATGGAGTGTGTAGCAGCATGCAGGAAGAAGGTGATGCAATTGCAGACATTGACAGTTCATGAAATGACATTGCAGTTTCATCATCATGTCAAGTTTGTTGGTTTTGGATTCTGGGCTGAGACACTGCCTGGATGACCAACTGACTGACTGACTGAGATAGTTTAAAATGCTGCTTGAGACAGCTCTGCTGAGGTCATCGCTTCCAAAGAAGATGCGTCTGACACATTGCAATTAGAGTGGGAACTTCGCAGGTGGTATCATCGCCGCCCATGGGAGAACCGCGCTGCCTTATTTCACCGATGTCGCAACTCTCAGAATGGGTGGATTCAGATGCACAAGCTGATTTGGCCTGAACGAGATGCGCCAGGCACATTTAATTAGATAGTCAACTAAGACTGCCAGGCACATGTCTGAAAATATGATACATGTTAGTGGGTTTGGAACATTTTCTATTTTTTCCATTCCCAAGTGGACGATTCAGGCCACCCAGCAGCATGGCCTGACATTTCATCTTCGTTATTCAATTATCATGAATCGGATTGATTCGTGCGATGATAATAATTGACTGGATATAGAAGATGAAATATCAGACCATGCAATGATAGATCATTCAATGCAAGTCTCTCTTTGTGCAGGGCCACTGGTCGGGAGCAACATGGACCTTCCGGAACAACCTCCATCAAACAGTCAGCCTGCTGACCCAGGTTTGTCTGACAGTCAGCCTGCTGACCAACGTTTGTCTGACAGTCAGCCTGCTGACCAACATTTGTCTGACAGTCGGCCAAACCTGGGTCAGCCTGCTGACTCTTTGATGGAGGATGTTCTCCTCATTCCACAACGAAAGCTGTACTCGGTCAGTCTTTCGATGTTCTTCGTGATTTTGCGCCACGGCTGAATGTGAACCCTTTTAGATCATTCTATGAGAGTTTTTCGATTTTGAAATAGTATTAATCCCTAAGGATCAAAAGATGGTGCTATAAATTCACTTATCAGAAAGTAGTTGTTTTTAAGCTACTTAGGGGTTAAAAGGGTGGTAAGTGCATCAAATTCCCATACTTAATGAACTCATGTTTTTCCGAAAAATTGGGAGTCAGATTCAGCGCAACACCAAGAATCTCAAAGCCATGTGTTTTTGTCTATCCATGAAGATCTGGTTTTGAAGGGGTTGTCACAGGCTGTCATGGACTGTCACAGTCGTTTTCCGATAAGTCAACATTTTTAGTGAGAAGATATGTATTTGTCACGGGGTGTCACGGGTTCGTCACGGTCTGTCACGCACAACCCAAAAGTAGATCCTGACAAATTTTGACATATTGTGTCTTTTAATCATGCCTAGACATCCAAAAAACCGACATTTGCTTTCTTTGCTTAGGACATTCTCGAACCGGAAAGTCCACAAGATCGACAGTGACGGCCTGGAGTTCTTTCAATCCTTTTTCAACAAGATTGCCAAGAACTTGAGCGGGATGACTCTATTTCTACCACACCCTTTTCGATGCCTATTTGATTTTTTCAGAATGTTTTTTGTTCCCCTATTATTAATAGTCTTGGGGTTAGTTCCGGTGTGCCGTACAGGCTCATGTTGCACAGGGTTCTCGACCAATACCACCAGAGCCCAGCGGCTTATTAATTATTTAGTATTTGAATTCTATCAATAATCAAGAATCATGAATCATGGGTAAATAATTTAGTTTTCTGTTTTGCAATTCAACCAGGATTGGGTATGCCGCTTGAGGGAAATGCTGATATTGTGTGGGAGGGGCCTGACAAAGGCCTGACGATCAGAAATGGGCAGATTTGCACGTATGACATGTTTGTCTTTCAAGGGGACGACCCTCTTCTGCTAGCTCTGGAAGGCACCTGGTCAAGCATCTTTCAGGAAACCTATGAGTGCCCACTGGGCTTGAAGCTGGGGTCGCCTGACTTCACAACCTGCCACTTGGGTGATTTCCTGGCCTTTTGCCTGTCATATGGAGCGTCACCAAAGACAGGAACCAATAGGCTATTTTGTTTGGTTTTGAAGATTGTGGCCCAGATCGGTGAATTCTTGTCTGACCCTATCAAGCAGATGGCCTGTTTGGTTTCCTGCGACAAACGAAAGCTTCCCATAGTGAAACCGTATGAGCGAAAGCAAAGGCTCCCGGAAACTGACTTGGGACAGTTTGATGAGACTGAAGGAAGTGATGTCAGACTGGACTGCTTGGCTCTGATCAAGGACTCGTGCATGGCAATCTCGAAGGTGATCTGAGGCACTCAGGTGCAGTTTGTCTGCATCGGACTCTTCCTTTTGGCAGACGACAAGTTTGACAGCCCATGCGTCTGACTCAAAGTTCCGACCTCAAGGGTGCCCTCCAAGGTTTGCTTAACCAGGATGACAAAAAGATCCATGTACAGATGAAATTTTGAAAGCCCATGCATCACTGGGCGAGTCTGACTGGCTGACATGAGGCTACCATGGCGCTCCGACAAGCAGTCAGAAAGTCTGTTTTTGAATTTAAAATGTCAGTCAGACAGAGAATTGTTTTGCTGACCGGGTTTTTGAAATTGAAATAGGCAGGAAGTACCATTGGCAGGAAAAATGTGCGCTGATTCAGACCAGGCATTGCAGCAAAGCATTGCAGTCAACCTCTGTCAGATGAGAAAGTTGTTTAACTGAATCTCGTAAGTGAATGCCGGTGCCTAAGGTCATGCCTGTTCGAGACTTTGTCGGAAGCTGAACACGGGCTTTCTGCAAACATGTTTTTCTCATGAGCTTGATCAACTTAGATTCGACTGACTTAGAGAGTCCTTGATTCATAAGTAATCTTTTTCATAATTTATCTTTCCAGGATTCCAATTTCTGACTTAAATTAACTGACATAGTCTGTCAGACAGTCATTTGCCTGCTGTGGCTTTTCTTAGCTTAGCAGGTGACTTTTGGACAACTGCAAGCCAGCAAGTATCAATCTCCATAATCGACTTAATCGAAATTAAGCCTGACTGTTCTTGTTTGACTGACAATGAACACTATTTAATCTATCAACAAAGTAACATGCTGCATGACTGAATGCTGTTTAAAAAATATATATAATGATATAATAGTTAGTCAAATCATACTATGGATACCATAATGATGACTGATGACATGCATAATTATGATTCGTTCGAGTGAAACAAATCCAGCTTTCACATTAATGACTCATTTGAAACAGCAAGCAGCTGTTGCTCTTCCACAGTGTCACATCAGCCATGGATGAACCAAATGCTGGTGAGAGTTTCTTTATTTTTGATGTCTCTGATGTGCAGATTGTGGTGCCTTGCTTGCATAGAGGAAACTCATGAATGACACATCATGGAGTGTGTAGCAGCATGCAGGAAGAAGGTGATGCAATTGCAGACATTGACAGTTCATGAAATGACATTGCAGTTTCATCATCATGTCAAGTTTGTTGGTTTTGGATTCTGGGCTGAGACACTGCCTGGATGACCAACTGACTGACTGACTGAGATAGTTTAAAATGCTGCTTGAGACAGCTCTGCTGAGGTCATCGCTTCCAAAGAAGATGCGTCTGACACATTGCAATTAGAGTGGGAACTTCGCAGGTGGTATCATCGCCGCCCATGGGAGAACCGCGCTGCCTTATTTCACCGATGTCGCACCTCTCAGAATGGGTGGATTCAGATGCACAAGCTGATTTGGCCTGAACGAGATGCGCCAGGCACATTTATTTAGATAGTCAACTAAGACTGCCAGGCACATGTCTGAAAATATGATACATGTTAGTGGGTTTGGAACATTTTCTATTTTTTCCATTCCCAAGTGGACGATTCAGGCCACCCAGCAGCATGGCCTGACATTTCATCTTCGTTATTCAATTATCATGAATCGGATTGATTCTTGCGATGATAATTGACTGGATATAGAAGATGAAATATCAGACCATGCAATGATAGATCATTCAATGCAAGTCTCTCTTTGTGCAGGGCCACTGGTCGGGAGCAACATGGACCATACGGAACAACCTCCATCAAACAGTCAGCCTGCTGACCCAGGTTTGTCTGACAGTCAGCCTGCTGACCAACGTTTGTCTGACAGTCAGCCTGCTGACCAACAGTCTGACAGTCAGCCTGCTGACCCAGGTTTGTCTGACTGTCAGCCTGCTGACCCAGGTTTGTCTGACAGTCAGCCAGCTGACCAACGTTTGTCTGACAGTCAGCCTGCTGACCAACATTT